GAGGCCCGTCTCGTATACTTGAAATCTCATTGAATATGCATTTTGACCTTTTGTGCTCCGCCACCGAGAGCAAGGCTCTCCAGGACGTTCGTGATATTGATTTGATGCGCGAAGTGGACGCTATGAGCCTGAGGGTAAGTTTCCCTTTTCTTTTATGCTCTTCATTTTTAGCGACCTAGCCTTAACCCATCTCCTTATTTTTAGACGTACATGGTGGAGATTGAGCGTGCTCGTAGGGACGACACTCGGGAAAAGATTTTCCTGACGATGTTGGAGAAATATCGACACTACTGCAACAAGTGTCATGAAATGCACGAGCGGCTGAAGGCGAACGCCGATGATCGATCCCTTGGCGAAGAACTGGAGAAGAGGGATCAGGAATTGATGCAGGCTATTCGCAGGAGCAGCGTGCTCGAGGAGCAACTTCGTGCAAAGGACGAAGAACTTGAGTTGGGCAAAGGGGTTGCCGCTGAGTGTGAGCATCTTCAGGCAAAGGTGCAGTCGATGTAGTCCGAGATGGATCAGAATGCCATCAGGGTCGAGGCGATGAGTGTAGAGTGGGTGGGAAAGTTAGCTGAACTGGAGAGAAAGGTTTTCGGGTTGGAGAATATTGAGAGTGCATGGGCATCGGCTTCAGCGAGGGCGACGGCTTTAGAGGACACTATCCACGTTCTTTAATCCGAGCAGGAATCTGAGAGGGCGGCGATGACGCTTAGGGAGGCGAGGCTTGAAGAGCGTATTGGTGACATTGACCGGGAAGCGTCGACTTTGGGGGACCGGGTCGCTGCTCTTGAAGCCGAGAAGGTGCAATTGTTGTCCTAAGTCGAATCTGCCTCCGCCGCCGTTCCCCGTCATCTACATGAGCTTTAGGTACATGCTGAGGCCCAGCGGGACATATATAAGAATTTGTGGGAAGCGGGCAATGTTTCTGAGGCTGCATATGAAGAAGCACGAGCAAAGGCACGTGAGGCTTGTGTTAATTACGGATATGATCCTGCGACGCCGGGGGCCGACGAGGATGTTGATAACGAAGAGATACTTCCTGGAGATGGTGGTGAGGAGGACGGCGGTGATGACACCGAGTGAAAGAATTGTTTATCTTTATGCTGTTTCTTTTTTTATCTTGTTTGTTGACTGTGTTGTTCTTTTTTTTTTTGGACTTGCCCGGCTTTTAGCCGTATGTAATTAGTGACTATTTGCGCAACTGCTTTAAATAAAAAGAAGTTTTAATTGGTGTATGTCTTTTGTGCTCCCCTTCCTTTTCCTTTGCATAATTTTGGCGTGAAATTTTGGATTTCCTCTATTCCTAATTTTCAAGGAGTTTAATCTCAGTCGGACCGAGTTGGACTTCGTCGTGTGAGTCTGAATAGAGTCATTGAACCGCCTATTTGGGCGAGGTCAACAAGCGACTATTTGCTTTGGGCGGATCCGCTTTTGACTTGAAACGAGATTTTATAACTATTTGCCTTAAAGGTGTTATTTCGAACTTTCGTCGAAATATTAACCCGTCGTTGTTTGATCGAGGTCGAACTCTTCTCTTTGGCGAAGGCCTTGGCCTTAAGGGTGTTATTTTGAACTTTCGTCAAAATATTAACCCGTCGTTATTCGATCAAGGTCGAACTCTTCTCTTTGGCTAAGGCCCTTGTCCTTAAAGGTGTTATTTCGATCTTTCGTCGAAATATTACCCGTCGTTGTTCGATCGAGGTCGAACTCTTTTCTTTGGCAAAGGCCCTTGGCCTTAAGGGTGTTATTTCAAACTTTCGTCAAAATATTAACCCGTCGTTGTTCGATCGAGGTCGAACTCTTCTCTTTGGCGAAGTCCCTTGGCCTTAAGGGTGTTATTTCGAACTTTCATCAAAATATTAACCCGTTGTTGTTTGATCGAGGTCGAACTCTTCTCTTTGGTAAAAGCCCTTGGCCTTAAGGGTGTTATTTCGAACTTTTGTCGAAATATTAACCTGTTGTTGTTCGATCGAGGTCGAACTCTTCTCTTTGGAGAAGGCCCTTGGCCTTAAGGGTGTTATTTCGAACTTTTGTCGAAATATTAACCTGTTGTTGTTCGATCGAGGTCGAACTCTTCTCTTTGGAGAAGGCCCTTGGCCTTAAGGGTGTTATTTCGAACTTTTGTCGAAATATTAACCTGTCGTTGTTCGATCGAGGTCGAACACTTCTCTTTGGCGAAGGCCTTCGGCCTTAAGAGTATTATTTCGAACTTTCGTCGAAATATTAACCCGTTGTTGTTCGATCGAGGTTGAATTCTTTTCTCTCTTCTCTTTGGCGAAGGCCCTTGGACTTAAGGGTGTTATTTCAAACTTTCGTCGAAATATTAACCCGTCGTTGTTCGATCGAGGTCGAACACTTCTCTTTGGCGAAGGCCTTTGGCCTTAAGAGTATTATTTCGAACTTTTGTCGAAATATTAACCCGTTGTTGTTCGATCGAGGTCAAATTCTTTTCTCTCTTCTCTTTGGCGAAGGCCCCTGGTCTTAGGGGTGTTATTTTGAACTTTTGTCGAAATATTAACCTGTCGTTGTTCGATCGAGGTCGAACTCTTCTCTTTGGCGAAGGCCCTTGGCCTTAAGGGTGTTATTTCGAACTTTTGTCAAAATATTACCCGACATTGTTCGATCGAGATCAAACTCTTCTTTTTGGCGAAGGCCCCTGGTCTTAAGGGTGTTATTTTGAACTTTCGTCAAAATATTAACCCGTTGTTGTTCTATCGAGGTCGAACTCTTCTTTTTGGTGAAGGCCCTTGGCTTTAAGGGTTTTATTTCGAACTTTCGTCAAAACATTAACCCGTCGTCAGTCCCAGTTTTTTGGAGAGTCGGGTATCCTCCGGGGGAGTCCCAGTTCTGCTCAACCACTGTGCTTCCTGGGTGAGTCCCAGTTCGCTTAACTTTGTTTGCATCGGGGAGTGTAATGTCGTAGAGTACGAAACTTTGCTGTTTTGCTCACATTCGTTTCGTGCACACATTGAGGTTTCCTTGTCTAATCCTTTCGCCTTCCGGTCTGGAGATGTCCATGGTAGGCGGGACGATGAATTATACTTTGAACTTGGGGATGTTTCCCTCGTCGAATCGGTCCCTAAGTCCCCGGGAAAACCCTATTGGGACAACTCCTAGGTGAGGTAGAGAGAGTACATTTTAAGGGGCATCATTTTCTAGAAGTTGGCTTGTCAGGTGGGCGATATTTCATAGCAGATTGTAGTAGTTTTTCATTCTCCAGTTGAGATGTTTCTTTGCTCGCTCGCCTGTGTGGCGCTTGTGTTCCTGTTTGAATGACCGACAGAAGGTGAGCCGAAGTGATATCTTCCTTACCCCTATCCGATGAGTCGGTAAATGAGGGTGGATTTATAGCGTTGCTCGTTTTGCCTGGCATTTCGAAATTCGGTGGTCGTGCTCAGTTCTCTTTCTCCTTCTATTTTGTACTTTTGAACTGCGTGGGTTGGGCTTTCCTTAGCTCATTCATGGATCGCCCGATGTACAGGGGAGGATGTTGGTTGTAACTTCTACTTGCATATAGCATCATGATCTAGATTAACACGTGAGGTTTACTTACCGCTCTTTTTGGTGAGTGATCATATTTCCAGGTTTTTGATCTGGGAGAGACTAGGAAATTTCACTAAGAAATCCCCACAGATGGCGCCAAATTATTTGACCAAAAGATGCTAAAACCTTTTTGAGTAAAACAATTAATAATAATGATGAGGTCAATCTTAGTCAAACATAAAAAATCCTAGATCTGGAAATGAATCGGAAAGTAATGAATAAAATAAAATAAGACCGAGCAATCTTCATTCATAACTTGATGATTCCTCTTTCATGATGCCCAAAAGGTCATCGATTTTACATCTTTCTTTAGAAGAAAATAGAAGGAGAGAATGTAGAGAGAGAGAGAAAAAATCCAAAAAGCCCCCTCCCCTTCCCCCCTCTTCCTTTTGGGGAATTCATCCCCTATATATAGTTCTAAGATTATGACCACCTTCTCCGGTCGGTCTGCCCTTATGCTGTGGCCTTTTCATCGTTACTTAAGTATTGTCTTTTGACCCACTGTACATTGTGGATACTTAGACCGAAGTAGCTCGTGATGGTCCTCGCTACCCCACCCCTTAGGCGGGGTTCTAACTAGACCGACTACTGTGGTAAGATTTTGACCTATACAAGCCCTTCCAAAAATTCTAAACGGCCAAGGGCAAACCCAGGCCGAAGAGGGGGTTTGGAAATGGTTTTCAACCAGCAATAGACGCGCCTAGGTTAGAACCTCAGTAGCTGCGTCATTGCCCCAAGCGCAAAGATTGGTAATAGATGTTAAAACATGTAATAGTGGAGATTATGCTTTTTAACTGTTTGTACAAAAAATTTCAGCATGGCCATTGCATGATGTCCTCTTCAGCATGACCTTTCTTCTAGTGCATTGCATCTTGTGATTGTGGAATGATCAGACATCAGAGTAAGGTTTGCTTCGTGAGTCTTTGGCGTACTCGTTACTATATTAGACCCTTTAAATACTCATATTTCCTGCTTGGAAAATCTTTATTTTGCATTTTGTGTTTTTTGTTGCAATTTTGCATGGTTGTATTTGTGGTGCATGGATGTACCAAGTAGGATGTAATGGAGTTGTTTTTGAAGTGCTTGGGATGTGGATTTTATTGTCAACTATATTGTGATTTGTCCAAGAATGGACACAAGTGTAGGTTACTCACATAAGTGGTTTCTTTGTTTAAACTTAGCATTAGGTCTTGGATGCAATTAGCACATAGTCTAATCTCAATATGGTCTAAGCAAACTGGCATATTAATTGGTAGTATAATTTTTAGTAAGCACCTTGCATGTGGCATATATTGAGTATATATTTTTAGTATGCACCTTGCATTTAGCATGTATTGAGTATATAGAGTAACCACCTTGCACTTGGCATCTGTTGAGCTATGCTTAATTACAACTTAATAGAAACCTTTTGCGAGATTAGTTTGCCTTTCTTTAAGAGAACACCTAAGAGCAGCTACAATCACAAGAGCATGAACGTATAAATGAGTTAAAACAACTGAACACATGGGGCTAGAGAATGATGTGAATACCACAGTTCTACCAGCTAAAACAACATCCTCTATTGCACCTAAATGCCATTTTTTATTGACATCTGCTGTGTACATGAGATGGTGGAAGTAAAAACTTGTGCACCACTTAGCCTAAACAAAGAGGGAAATGCAGATGTCTTTGATCATGGATCGATATGGTACTCTCAATACGCCGCAACCTCAATACCCCCCTTGTTATTATACAACTCAACTGGTGCATCATATTTGCTGAAAAGTCGGTAAGATGAAAGCAGCGAAAGCATTGCATAGCAAAGGCTTACTATGAAAGTAACAGATACAGATGCTGTGGCTTTATGGCAAAAACCTCCAAATGAGCCACATGACTCACTCCATGTAACCGCTGTGTCCCCTTTATAGGCCAGATACACCACCTCTGTTGACGCAGCTCCGGCAGCCAGTATTATGTATGTCAGTATCTGCAGGCAAGAGGCACAATCAGGGTCGGTTGGTAGGTTCAATTGAACCCATTGCTTTCGATTGGAACGATATACAAAATAAATTTATAATCTTTATATATATATAATAAGATCAATTCATTTTGAATTCACTAATTCTAAATCCTGAATTCACTTCTGCAAGTATTTTATTTTAGTATAGTGGTGGCAAAATGGATTGAAAACACAATTATCGATCCATATTATCCACTAAAAATGGATTGAATAATGAACTTTTTAAAAACGGGTCAAATATGGATAAGATCCGTATTATCCACTTAAAAATGGATAATCAATGGGTTTAACATACATATTTGCAAGGACTCAAATTGGGGCTCCTCACGTTTGAGAGACTAGAATTCTCTCAAAACGTGACCATATTCAAGAAGCCCCGCCGGTTAACCCATTTTCTATCCGTATTAAGTATGATTAAGTATGAGTTTGGGTCGGATAATTTATTTTTCAACCCCGCCCACCTTCGACCCGACCCGTCCTGCCCATTTGTCACTACTCCTGGTTTAGGGTGATGGTCAAATGCAAATTCAGATGCAGGGTGCCTTAGAAATACAGCTTAATCAAGATCGACAGTGTAGAAAAGAACCTGATCAAGGAGGAAGAAAGTCCAGGCTCTAGACATGGTAATGGGACGAGGAACAGCTGCGACTATTGCTGATAGAAGAGAATAACCTGCACAAATGCCATTTGCATGGACCAAGTACCTGCAGCAGATTCAAGATTTGAACCTCATAAGCCATGACTACAAATTTCTCACAAAATCCACCAACCATCGGCTTCACTTTCACCAAAATTCACACCTTATAAGGTAATTACAGCTTATTCTATGACTAGCATTAATTGGTAACTGTTACCTAATTAAGAAATAGATAAATGAAGAGAAGAGTAAAATAGTTACCTGAAGGTTCCAAGGTCAGAGTAGGAAAGGGAACCAAAGTCATTAGTTTGGGAATTCTTGAGCATAATAACAAGAGCCACAACACAAAGCCCCATGGGTAGCAAACGTAGCACAGTCTCAGCCGTTCGCATGCTACTGCTTCCATTCTCATCTTCAAATTCTTGTGACCCTTTCTGTAGAGGAGTACTTCCAGCCATTTTCTGTCTTGAATCCTCCATCTTTGGAATGAATATTCTACTCTCCTCCTAATTTTTTTTTTTTTTTTTTTTTTTTTTTTTTTTTTTTTTTTTTTTTTTTTTTTTTTTACAGTATAGAAATGATTATGGTAAAGGAGAAAGTGAGGGGAGATGTGAATGATAGGTAGCTAGTCACTACTTATTAATAATGGACTTTAGCTGAGGAGTTGAGTAGTTGGGAGGAATTAAATGCGATCAATCAAAGCTTGCCACACTTTTCCATGCAACAAAGAAAAATTGTGATGGATAACTATCCTCCTAGCTAGCTACCCTAATTGACCAACTATTTTACTCTCTCTTCATAAGTGCGTGTCCCTATCCTGACATCTTTGGGAATACATTCAAGAATCAAGTTTCTGCTGCATGTACAAGTATGAGCCTTCCAAGAAAACGAAGAAATAAGAATAGGGTCCCAACCCCATGTAGACCAATTTCTCCTACTTATTACTTCACGCGTTTACTTTTAGTTGTCAAATATTCTAAAAATAAATTCTCTTTTATATGTCACTTTTAGCGTATTAAGAAAAGATTATTTCCTTTTTTTTGTTATACACACAACATTATTTACTCATTTCCAATTATTTTTTTAAAATCGTTAAAAATATATATCAATTAATATGAGTATCATGATAAATTATACACTTCATTTATTATTTTTAAGAGACGTAAAAAGTCAAAACGTAACAAGTAAAAGTGATGATCGGAGGGAGTAACTACATTTTGCCCCCTCCTATCTATTTTAAATGTAGTTTGAAATAATTCATTTATTAAGAAAATTACTTAAATCATTAATTATAAGGATTTTTTGATTAAATTATCTTTTATCTCTCCTTAAAATGACTATAAATGTTGAGAGACTTTTCTTAAAAAATTATGTATACCATTTACATGGAGCAAGGGTAGATTTGGATCAAATTTGTTTCGCTGAAATGACATTTAAAATGGACTGACGTAGTAGTTTTTTACCTCAATATTATAAGATTTAACTCTTGTAATGAAAAAATAGTTTAACTATGTATTTTATATATCACAGAGAACAAAATTAGCCGAAAATGTTAAATTTGGTTCCAAAAAGTAAAGGTATTCTACACAATGTTAGAATTACTATGCAACTATACTCACATCAACAATTCACCTTACAAATATATCTATATGGTGTCACTTAATTATACAAACTTCATTTTTATAGACAAAATCTAATCCCATTCTCTTTCACTGTATGATTGTATGGGTCCAAATTTGAACAACCACGATCGTTGATGAATACGACGAACGACGAGATCCTCGTAGTTCGACATCCCGCAGAGGATGACCTTAAGGCGAACAAGAGACTGTACGACCCTTGCAGTAGTGCAGGCCCATTAGGAAACATTAGGAATATTCTTTCGAATGTTCCCTTGTATAAACGATTGATCAGGTTTGATCCCTTATATATATAGAGCGTAAAACAACCTCTTTCCTAACCCATAATACTTGCTGTAAACTTGCTTACATAAACGATTGATCGGTTTGCGATTTAAGTTTTTTTAAAAGGGATAAAGAGTTCTTATCCTCTGCACTCTCCTTGTCTATCTTTTGTTCTAGAAATTATTATGCTTAACTAAGATTTACCCATTTATTTTCTTTGATTGATTTATTCAAAAAGGTTCCAATATCTTTTGAGTCAAACAATTTGGCGCCGTTTGTGGGAATAGTTTTGTCTAGATTCTTGAAAGAAATAATCACCTCTTCTTAGCCTCACAAAGGCTAACTATGGCAGGAAAGGGAGAAACAAGGCTAAAGGCGATAGTAGGTGTCACGAGCAACCTCCTGAATTCCCTCAATGAAGCCGGTGGGGAAGACAATGAAAACGCAACGCCAAGTGCTACACCTGAGGGAGAGATCTCGCCCCCCTAATTGTCTCGCGCGAGAGGGAAACCTCAACATCCACAGCCGGAGAAGCACCACCGACCGTGAGAAGGCTATTAGAAGAATGGTTGACAAACACCTTGAGCAATATACTCAAGAAACCCGTTCAAAGGGATATCGAAGGCACAATACCCACAGAAACCGCAGCTATCGCCGATGAGCCAGAAACTCCGCGAACAGGTAACACTCATAATGTCATTGATGCAGGCAACAATGCACTTGCGACCATCTTAAAGAAAATAGAAAAGATGGAAAATGAGAACAAAACACTCCGCGACCAGATAAAAGAGCATGAGGAAAGGGTTGATAAAATACCAGGCGCTCTGAAGTTGCTACCAAAATGTGATGTGGCCGATTCGTCAAACAACCCTACAACGAAGGGGCAGCTCCCCACTCTATTCCGAAAACCTTCAAAATGCAGCCATATTTGAAAATATATGATGGCACAACGGACCCGAAGGATCACTTAATCTATTACGTTATTGCAGTAAAATGTAACGATCTCTCAAAAGAACATATGCCGTCAGTGCTGCTGAAAAAGTTCGGCGAAACTCTGACAGGGGGAACATTTACATGGTATTCCCAACTACCAGCATGATCGATATCAACGTTCGAAGAAATGGTAGATAAGTTCGTCACCGCTCACGCGGAAGCGAAAAAGGCAGAAGCCATGGTAAATGATATCTTCGCCGTCAGGCAGACGACGGGCGAGGGACTTCGGGATTTCCTAGCCCGATTCAACAGGGTAAGGATGAGCCTACCAAACGTGTCAGAAAAGATGGCGGTAGTAGCCCAAAATAGGTTAAACAGAAACAGGTCAAAAGCAACCAAAAAGCTGCTAAGTAGACTCATGAAGTACCCCCCACCACGTAGGAAGAGATCCATAATGCCTATTACGCCGAAGTGAAGGCAGACGAGGATGACCTGAACGTCCCGATCCAGCGACTAACATCGGTCCAAATCGAAGCAAGGAGAGATTTCCGCAACGACGGCCGAAGGGACCAACTACCCCGTTTCAATCGGGAAAGGCACTAGCCCTATATCCGAACATCCAACCCACCTCCTCCACGACATGCAGATGCCGCGCCTCGACACACCGCACCACCCTAAAACGAAAGAGGTATGCCTCCACTGTTATATGCTCATAACTTTTGTGTTTCTCCTTCAGAAATAGTGTACGCATTGGAAAAGCTCGGAACAAAGGTATAGTGGCCGCAAAAGATGAAGTTAGATCCGAGCACCCGGAGATCGAACGTTCTGTGAGAATTCCACCAGGAAAGGGGGCACAAGACCGAGGACTGCATAGGTCTACGACAAGAAGTGGTAAGAATGCTAAATCAGGGACACCTGAAAGAACTACTGAGCGACCGATGACGGGTCAACTTCGCTCGTGGGCGCGATCAACTTCAAGGACCTCCAAGACCAACATCGCCAGCTTGTACCATACAAATGATCATTAGCGGCAGTGACGATATGATAATCAACCATGTGAAGTTCACCACCACGCACAAACTCAAACGGACAGTCGCCCACGAACGGTATGATGGCCTCGAAGATAGTATCATCTTCGATAAGTTGGATACCAACGGTTTGTATTTCGCTCTTTATGATGCTTTGGTTATAACTTTACATATTGCGGATACCGACGTAAAGAGAATAATGGTGGATGACAGAAGTGGCGTGTGTATTATTCACCCACGAGTTCTCATGCAGATGAGGCTCGAGGATATAATAGTACCGCATTGCATAATACTAACGGGTTTTAAAAATGCAGTAGAGCGAACCTCTAGAGAGATAGTGCTACCCATTCTGGAAGGAGGAGTCATCCTGGAGACGATGTTCCACGTCATGAATCAGGAGATAGCCTACAACGCCATCATAGGGCGTCCATGGATACACGCCATGCGAGCCATCCCGTTAAGTTTCTATCAAAGATATTCAGCATCCGAGGCGAGCAACGCACCGCCCAAGAATGCTACCGGATCTCCCAAGATTGCACACACACCAAACAACTAAAAGGGGCAAGTGCAGAAGCATATCAATCAGCCATATATGGAACCAGACCCGACGTACAAATAAATGCCATTAAAGACCCGGATGTCGTAGAGGCTTGCAAGGCAACCATAGAAGATCTCGACCTCGTCCAACTAGACAACACCGATAGCACGGAAAAGGTTTATATCGGACACAACCTCTCAGAACCAGGTAAGTATCATGAGTTCTTAACTAACAATGCCAATTTGTTTGCCTTTTCCCATTCAGATATGCCACGAATCCCAAGGGACATCGCCACACATAGGCTGAATGTCGATACTCCGCCAGTACGACAACTGGGGAGAAAGTTCAATGCCACCATCAATGAGGCGGTCAGCGAAGAAGTTGATAAATTACTCGCTAATGGTTCCATCCGAGAATCGAAATATCCCCAATGGGTGGCCAATGTGGTCACGGTAAAAAAGAACGGGAAATGGTGGATGTGTGTCGACTTCACCGACCTGAACAAAGCATGCCCGAAAGATTCCTTTCTGTTACCACATATTGACCAGCTCATCGACGCAATGGCGGGACACGAACTACTGATCTTCTTAGACGCCTACTCTGCTTACAACCAAATTCTAGTGGCTGAAGAAGATCAAGAAAAGACCACTTTCATCACTCACTAAGGAACGTACTGCTATAAGGTAATGCCGTTCAAACTCAAGAACGCAAAGGTGATGTATCAAAGGTTAGTCACCAAGATGTTCAAAGAACAACTCGGTAAGACCATGGAGGTTTACATCGATGACATGCTGGTAAAGTCGAAAAGAAAGAGGATCACATTGGCCATCTGAAGGAAGCCTTCGAGATACTGATGCAATACGGGATGAAACTAAATCTCGAAAAGTGCGCCTTCAGCGTAACTTCAGGAAAGTTCCTTGGTTTTCTGGTGTCACAAAGGGGTATCAAAGTCAACCCAGATCAGATCAAGGCCATCGAAGGAATACCGGAGACATTGACCAGTAAGAAGCAAGTGCAGAAATTAATAGGACAAATAGCCGCCCTGTCGAGGTTCATTTCGCGATCATCAGACAGATGCCAAAAATTCTTCAATGTGCTAAGGAAAGACCACGGGCTACAGTGGAATTCAGAATGCGCCAACGCCCTGAGAAAGGTGAAAGCATATCTATCTTCGCCACCACTACTCGTCAAGGCAGACCCGGGTGAATGACTACTGGTGTACC